AACTTATATAACTGTTATTCTTATGTGATAGTGATGACAATCGTATCTATTCGTCCACTAGTGAAACCTACATTATTAGCTTGATTGATTCATATAATCCCTTTTTAAAGCCACATTCGTAAGAAGATGTTTTGTGCTCATATAATTAAGTATTAGATGACCAACAGGGAGAAGGGTGGAGATGCCATGTACCTTGTAACTATAAAATTAATCAAATTCCTGCTGACTAAATCATGGATAATGGACATTGCATTGCTACCATCTTCATTAAGGTTATACAGTTCTGCCCACATATCAATGAGGGCGACTACAGGGATTCTTTGATCTTCAGGAAATAGCCCCAGATCCATGAAACACTCCTTTTCATTGATGGAGAACTTAGTCTCCAATATATCTAAACTTTGTTGAAGACGAGACAGCAAATCAGTACTATCAGACTCCAGAATGGATTGCCCTTGTAAACGCTCCATCATATTTTGCCACACCACAAAAGGCTGGTTACAGAGCGATCCAGCAATCACCTTAAGGGCCAATGGTGAACCCTTGCAACCTTTCACTATCTGCGGTTCATGGAAACATAGTAAAATCAGTAAATAAATTGAAAGGCTAGGTAACTAGGTTGTTCATATCCTAATAAAGAAAGGTGAATATGACAAACGGACAAATTCCGTGTTGTTGCTCCCTCCATTCCTATTTATAAAGCTCGTTTACCTATTCATCAGATTAAGAAAAGTAGCAGTCGAGAAAAAAATAAATCTATCTTCTTTTTTTATTTTCAAAATTATGCTTGTCATTGATAATTATCTTCTATATGTAACCTACTTCAGAGTAAACATAATTAATGCACTGAATATTACGGACTGCCTCTTGTAAAAAGAAGCTACTCAATCTCTTATTGAGACCGGTACATGTGCAGCCATTCGTACAAAAATCTGTTCAATATTTTTTTGTGTTCATCTCTCTCATATACATTATCTATTAGATGTCATAATGCTAGAGAGATAGAGACAAGAAATGATGTTGCATATATTGTTGCACGTGAATCACAGTAATTATGTGTAGTGTGAGTGATTTTGGAAAAATAGAAGCACCACCTCGTCGACAAGATTTTCAGGTATGTCTGAGCTTTTGTCTTTCAGCTGTGCAAAGTGACGGAAAAGGGATTCTGCATGGACATGATCAAGTTTATCCAACTGGTATGAGGTGCCAAATCTTGGAAATGAAACCCTTGAAGTAACCAAAATCTTGTAATCAGGTATCTTAATTTTAAACTTTTCAACAAGGTCTTCTGAGCCAGGCCAAACATCATCCAAGACCAACAATATTGGATGTTTCCCAAGAACCCTCAGCAGAACTTCCAGTCGATTTACTGCATCTTCATCGGTTTGAAACTTCGGAACCTTACAACCGCAGTGTTCAAACAGTGTCTCTACAATGGTCTTCAAGTTGGGAGTTTTTGATACAGTGACAAAGAAGATGTTTTTCCCGAACTTGTCTAGTCAAAACAAAATAGCTTTCTAAGTTATCTGAGATACTATTCCATAATGCATCTCATGCATATACGAGCTAGTGATTCCAGAATAAATAATTTAGATCAATAATATATCATACGATCGCATTGAGAATCACCGCATCACCCGCAATTTCTCACAACATCGAATATTGCAAGGAAACGTAACCACAACCACAATTTGAAGCCTTATATTAAAGGTAATATTCAATTAGTCTTCTTTCAATATTTTTTCTAGCAATTCAAACACAGTCCTATTATGGAGCACGAGAAGAAGAGAGGGAAGAGAGTTAGTTACCTTTGACTTGAGGG